TGCTGACAAACCAAGGATAATAACACCTTGTCCAATTTGTTCATTTATTACACACAATACACTTTTTATGGAGATAGTAGAACAATATACATCATAACTTATTACAAAATCTAGTTCTGTGATTGGCCAGTTGCAGTCATGTGGGGAGTGAGTTGGATTTAACTCCGCTTAGAACAGTATTCCAGTTATATCACGGTCTGTAAATAACATACAAGTTGTCTGGCTGGCCTGCATGGACCATGTGACATCCAAATGTTTCACATAAAACCACTTACACACATAAAAATTGATTGAGTTTGCATTTTTGAGAAGTCATTTCCAAAAAAAATATATTTCAATGAAAATAAATCCTTGAAACTTAAAACGACAATTTTTGTTGCCTGTGTCAAAAGCAAGTGCAGAGGAATAGTCAAGTCTTTAATCTCCCACAGAAAAGTAAATTACGGCACACAAAAGCAAAATACAAGCATATGCTACAACAATGTTACATGTCAATTATGTATGAACTTACCCTTAAGGAGCCTACTAACCTAGTGAAGCATGAATTGATGTATGAATAATAAACCGCTCATCCGCTCATGCAAACTATCAAGTGTATGTATGGACTGTTTGTCCTCTGGGTGTTTCCAACCGTTATACAATACAGTACATAATAAGGAAGAAGGGTTATCATGACTTACATTAGTTACACCACATGGGATAAGAAGAAGTGAGAGAACTGTATTGTTATCCCCACTAACAGTACACATGTGAATCGTTTGTTGGCCTCGGTTACAGCTTGTGTAACTTGAGGGTGAGATGTATATGACAAATAGGTGAGGGGGGAAAATCCAGCACTTGACCATTTGTTGGTTTGTGAGTAAAACCTGAGGCAAAATTATTTCTTTCCAGTATTTTCCGAACAAAATACTTTTCTCAATACAATGCCTGGACCCCTATCCCGAGTGAGTGAGTGAGTGAGTGAGTGAGTGAGTGAGTGAGTGAGTGAGTGAGTATGGTTTAACGCTGCTTTTAGCAATATTCCAGCAATATCACGACGGGGGACACCAGAAATGGGCTTCACACATTGTACCCATGCCGGGAATCGAACCCGGGTCTTCAGCGTGACGAGCGAATCCCTAACACAGAATACGAAATGGTAATTCGTAATCGTAATAGAAGATATTGCACTACCTCTTATTAAGCTTATACTACAAAGTTTGGATAGACTTACCAGTATGGTGAAATCAACAAGCATGGTGCTATCAGATCAAGGATTAGGACTCAAACCAAATAATGACATATCCTGGAACTGCTAAGGGAGGTAATCAACATAACTGTATCATGAACATTTTTGTAATAACAAAGGAATTGGTTCTTTTTGATCTGTTTGCTTCTGATAACATATCAACATATGACTTCTATATGTGTTCTCTACATAACAAGTGACAATTATATTTTTCTGTGCAGTGTACATGTTTTCTAATCTAATAACACCTGGAAAAACATTCCCCACAAGCAATGCCTGCACAGCTTCTAATAAATATGCAAATGTTGCCCCACATCCCTCTGAAACCTTTACATTAGCAACCTGAGCAAGAGTAAACAACAGATACCATATTTGACGTATTACGCGCCTCACTCCAGTTAGTGCCCCTGGCCCAGCTTCCAGACCAATCTGAAAGTAATCGTTTTAACCACCGGGTACTAAACAAGAAAATTAACATAACAGTCCATATTTTCTTGTGCATGTTACAGATCTTTTCACAGTTAACACAGCAGTGTAACTGTAACTATTATCAAAAATGTTTTAGTTTTATTGATGTTTAAAATAAGTATGTTCTCCACTGCTGTTCTCTGATAACAAAGCTCCCACCTTGTCAACTTTCTAAGTGGTCGGGGTGCTAATTACGGCTAATATGGTAATCTGTGTTATCCTGAATTCCCTTCAAAATTCTTTGGTCCTTGGTCTTGGGCTGAAGTAACCGAAATAACTAAAGGTCAGGTTTCATATGTAAAACATAACAATAAACAGAGTTGACTAGTATTGTAGAGTAATAAATATCTAAAAAGATTAGACCAGCTAACTATAAAAGTGTCAACTATAAACAAAAGGTATTAATTTTCACAAGGGAAAATTCTCAGTCCGAGTTTTCCATTTGGGATAATTCCATATGGAGGCAATCGCTGTTGAATCAAACCTAGGACTTCGGGTTGAGTGAGAGAGTGAGTGAGTTGGGTTTAACCAGTTATATCGCGGTGTGTCAGCTTAATGTGGGAGGAAAGCCCAAAGTGATGCAGGTCTCAGACGTCTACCACTTTGGTGAAACCCACGAGCACAGGTATGGTGCTGACAAACCTAGAAACATAATCGGGGCGAACCGGGATTCGAACCCACAATCATAGGTTTCTGGCGAGCCCAAGGGACGCAACTCTGCACAGCAAATCGCGGCACCTTAAACGACTGGGCCACCCGTGCCCCCTTACTTCGGGTTGAGGTGAGAATGATTTTACTACCAGACTACCCCACTGCCATTGTACTTTTTGAAAATAATATCACCAAGGATATCTTCATCAGAGGGCATCATTGACTACTAAGCATATCCCACAATGTGACAGGCACACTCCATGAACACCCACAATACATTCACTCTGTGACTACTTCTAGCAAATACTAAAACTGGCATACACAAACCAATTATTCTGTAAACCGACCAAAAACATATTACTATAACAAATTGAAACAAATACTTCACATCATGATCTTTCAGCCCTGAGAGAAGTGTTGAACAGTTACAAAACCATATTGGTTCATGCTGAAATACTTAAAACCTGAGATCACATAGAATACAGGTGCCAAATGAAGAAGAATATCTTTATATATTTAAGTTATATTTTAATAAAAAAATAATTCAAATTCTTATCAAAGAAAAGCTACCATTAGTGAGGAATGGAAGCTCACCATCATGTCATTAGGTTTTTTGTGGGTTTTTTTATAAAAAAGAATTATTTGTTGCATTTCGTATTGTTTTTACAAACCAGAAAACAGTGACTTCCAATTTTAAAAAAAAGTGTATGGCATGATGACCAACATTTATAGAATCTGTTTAAATTCCCACTCATAAGTGCGGTACATTTGGAGTTGAAGTAATACCGCTTCAGTTCATCCTGGAAAATCTGGAACGATGGAATATACTTTGTGTCTTTACGTGAGAAAATAATGTTTTTGCAAAGAATAAGTATACGATTTAATGGATCATTACTCCTGGGCAAGAGTTGATGCAACAAAACACATATTTCTACAACACTATTATTGTTGGCAAATAACTCAAGTTTCTCTACTGACCTGATGACGCATACAGGAACAATGACAGCTTAAAGGATTCAGGTTGACTTGACATGACTTCCAGATTAACAAGACTGACACATTTTCTGACATCAATATGAAAACATAACAAACAGCAATACACAAAACAAATATGCCCCCAGCTGAGAAAATGGGGTATCTTTAAAGCAGTATATATTCTGTTTTGATAATTCAATGCAAATTGTTGTCATGCTAAACTGAGTTGGGGGATGAGATTACATGCATCACACTTGTTAGATCTGCCAGCTGACACAAGTGCAGCACACCATTCAGACTAGAATAAGCAACTGTTTAACAAGTAGGCGTACAAAAGCTCCAGTGACAATGAAAGGCGTATAGATAATACATATTTATAGTTCTGAAACACAATTCCACTGCACAGGATAACTGGGCATGTGATATATACTACTAAAAAAAGTTCAGGACCACCCAATTCGTTCATATTATTCACGGATTATATAGGTTTTCAGACATCATACATTTTCGGATGGCTATGTTTATTGCAATTACTCATGCTCAGTTGATAGCAGTTTTAAGAGAAAGTTATCTTTTATGAGAGAATGAGAATTTGTCTCAGTTGTTTGTGTAATTAAACAGAAAACTACGACTGTTTCAAAGCGTCCGAAAACCCATAACACAGGGGGACTACAGCTTAATTATCTAACTATAGTACTATGAAAGTGAGTGAGTGAGTGAGTTTGGTTTTACGCCGATTTTAGCAATATTCCAGCAATATCACGGCAGGGGACACCAGAAATGGGCTTCACACATTGTACCCATGTCGGGATTCGAACCCGGGTCTTCAGCTTGACGAGCGAACGCTTTAACCACTAGGCTACCCGACCGCCTCAGTAATATGAAAGAATCAGACTTTCGGTAATATCTGTTTTGTAGTATATTGATGCTAACAAACAACACAGCATTATATGTCAGTCACAGAAGGGTGACTTCTTAATGAACATGAGACTAAAGATAAAGAAAGACATGTAATTTGAATAAAGAAAACACGTTTAACAGCTTAAAAGGACCCCTTTGTGTACAATTAGACATAAACATGGTGATGATACTAAATACATTCAAAAGGGACCATGTGTTAGAAGGAAGTTACCTTAGCAAAGTAGACAAGGGATTTCTCTAGAAAAAGACAAAGTATCATTTAACAAAGGGTCATTCAGCTTGTTCCCCCCTGTTGCAGCGGGCATGCATGCTGCATGAGAAAGCCGTTCATGAGGGTGAAATGACATGATACTTTCATACACATAGTTTGTTAAATCATTGCGAACACACCAACCAGCATTCAACACACAAATATCCAAAACACTGTACATTCATACCTTGCTCCCAAAGTCTTAGAACAGGGAGGGGTTTGACAACAGCAAATTATATCTCAGAGCAATTGTGTTGTCAAGAATATTAATATACCGTATTCGACGTAATATGCGCCCCGCTTTAATAAGCGCCCACAGCGATATTTGCTAATATGTTGGCTAGTGAACATTCCCAATTAGCACCCCTTCCGATTGATCAATGTACACAAAAGCTATTTATTCGCGTATAATACACACTTGTGTGTTATATGCACCCTTAATTATGGGCAATTATATTCTGGAAAAATATATCTGTCATATATAAACATTTGAGGCTGTCTGCATGATCCATGAAATTTATCTTTCAACTCTGTTTTTTTCACCAAAATATTATTCTAATAAGAGCCCCCTATTTTTAATTTTGAGAGTGCCCTGGACGCTTATTACGTCGAATACAGGAAATATATTCTATAAGAATACTATTGCAGGAGAATTTGAGTTGTTTCTTAATATTTTTCAACATGTCCACTGACCTGTGCAAAATTCTACCTGTCTGGCAGCATTAATAACAATCTTGTATGTACCATACAGCCATCTTCCTGACCCCAGAGTACCCTGACTACAAAGTCAAGTTTCCACCCTTGCCGAACTACGCTGCAATTTCGTGGCTCGACCGTAGCGCCACCAGTGTTTATTGATAGTCATGTCGACGCATGATAGTCAAAATCTGCACGTTGAAACCCATGATGTTTACATACAAGATATCTACTTAGTTACATGATTTGGATTGGACTATGATAGACTCGTTAGTCCTGCCAAAATGTGACTCCATAATTCTAGCCTAGTTTGGCAAGGGTGGAAACGACTTTTATAGTCAGTTAACTCCCTTGCCTCGGGAAGATGCAGGTCAACAGGTCTTATGTACCTGGTCAACAGCTCTTATATACAGTCAAGTCTCATTAATCCGACACTCGTTAATCCGACAATCGGCTTTATCCGACACTAATGATGGGAACCGATTAAAACAGTGCTATTTAGACCCGTTAATCCGACAGTCTCGTACTCCGACTCCGACACACCTAATTTGCAACGAATTACCGAAATCACTCATTTATCAGTCTCGTTAATCCGACACAGTGATCAGCGTACTCCGTGGTCATCTGCCCGCGAGTACACAGCCAGTGTTTTGATGCGAGGCGAGTCGGCTGGTAGCTGCATATTACAAAGCTGCAAAGATAAACTTGCTTAACAATAAACAATTAAAGCTTTAAATAAAGAAAACAGGATAATTCACATGCTTAGATTACCTCAATCTTATTAAAATCAGATACAAGTTGTCGCTATCGACGAAGACATCCCATTACAAGTCACGTCAGAACAACCTTTCGCGAACTTTGACCGACCAATGAAATGACCAACAGGAAGTCGACGTTAGCCACTTAGAAAGCAGCTTTCTTAAGCTTTGGGTACCAGTTTCAAAGTTGCGACTTCCATTCCAGGCTATGCTTCTTAAAGTATTTTGAATTTGTCATACAGTCCGTAACAGTTGTTTTGTGTTAAACTTTAGAAGTTGCATGATTCGAAAACATATTCCGCCAACAATGTAACATAACAATATGAATATATATTTTATATTTTTTATAACGTGTTTGAATCCTTATCTATTGTGTAGTTATCCGATTTTCGATCACGAACGTTGATACCTACTACTAAATTTCGTTTATCCGACATACTCGTTAATCCGACACAATCATATGCAACCATCGATGTCGGATTAACGGGACTTGACTGTACCAGGTCATCAGGTCTTATGTACCAGGTCATCAGGTCTTATGTGCCAGGTCAACAGGTCTTATGTACCAGGTCAACAGGTCTCATGTACCAGGTCAACAGGTCTTATGTACGAGGTCAACAGGTCTTGTGTACCAGGTCAAAAGATCTTGTGTACCAGATCAACAGGTCTTATGCACGAGGTCAACAGGTCTTATGCACGAGGTCAAAAGGTTTTATGTACAAGGTCAACAGGTCTTATGTACCAGGTCAACAGGTCCTATGTACCAGGTCAGCAAGTTGGGCGCTCCCACACCTCTGTTAACAACAGAGATCTTCCAAACACCATACAGTCATGACAGCCAAAACAAAAAAACAACAACATCTAAACAAACCCTACCAAAACAAGAAACATATGAATGGAAAAGCTGAAATGGATGTATGTTGACAACAAACTTGAGCACCAGATACTCAGAAGGAAGACAGTCGAGACACAGCCAGCACATCATGGCTGTCCCAGGCCTTCAACACCCTTATCACAGACTTCTTGATTTGGCAGAGAGTGTTCCCAGTCCACTGGTCAACAGTCCCTTATAGTTCATCATGGGAATTCTGAGGACAAAGACAGAAGTGTGAGTGAGTGAGTGAGTTGGATTAATCTGTTATATCATGGCATGTCAGCTTGATGTGGGTGGAAATCCCAAAGTGATGCAGGTCTTTGATGTTTACCACTTGGTCATGGCAATGACAAACCTAGAAACCTAGAAACACAATCTGGGCGAACCCACGATCATAGGTTTCTGGCTCTTTAAGGGACTCAACTCTGCACAGCACCTGAGACGACTGGGCCACCTGTACACCCCCACCCCCAAAAAAAATTTAAAAATACAACTAACAAAAAAACAAACAAACAAACAAACAAACAAACAAAAACAACTCAGAAAATCCACAGTTCATATAAATAGTCCCTCCATTAAGTCCCTCTAATCAACTTCTGTACAAATCTGCGAGTAATTATCCTTATACATCCCCAGTATGATGCCCGGAAATTTTATGACCATCCATATATTCTTGTGGACATGCATTGTAAGACACACTCTTTACAGACGTTCTTCGTGTGCTGTTTGACACATGTGGGTAAATGTGTTACCTTATATGGCTTGCAGTCACATCGTGTTTCATGGCTTTTCTCTTGTTTCACCAGCTCAAAAGATTTGTCCTTCTTTGGCTTATTTTTCAATAATTTAGAATATTCCTGAAAGCAAACAGTATATTTATATGATTAATTACAAAATGAAAAAACAACTCTCCAAGTTCATTGAAAAGGAATGTGGTTATCTAGAAAAACTGGAGCATCAGATTAACAGAAAGTGGAGCATGAGGTAAACACAATTTTATGTTTTACCGGAATACATGCAACATGAAACTTAGCAAAAGACAGAATAATTGAAATGATATCAAACATACAACACATACATAATTGGAATTTGAATATTGGAATATGGTATGCATTCTAATGACACATGTTTACATATGAGAAATATTGTGTGTATCCTTGGAGACTGCATTCAAGGTTTATTTACACAACCGAAAATATGAGACAGCTTGTAATTGTGCTTGAATAATCCCCAGTTAAAATTAATATTTTGCTGGAATGTGGAGTTTTAATGTGTGAATCCTGTGGCTTAATGTCTGCTCTTTCTGAAAAGTAAATATGCATCCATTGCTTTCCTCAATGACACCTCAGCCAGTTATGAGTCTACATGACAATTCCTGTCTCTTGCATCATTTCAGTAGATCTGTGGACAGTCCAAGCACAGTAAACTGACATGGTGGAGAAACTCACGCTGAATAGTTTTGTATGGTAGCAGTAGATGTCTGCAGGAGTCAGCTGATGCCTCACAAACTCCTGGGCATTATGGGCTATCTCTTGTACCTGCAACAGATATCACATCCATGAAAATAATCCATCCAACCACACAGACAAGTCATTACACCCACACCAACAAGTCCATCCACATACACAGACAAGTCAATACACCCACACAAACAAAGTCCATCCACCCACACAGACAAGTCCACCAATGCGTACGGACAAGTCCATCAATGCGTATGGACAAGTCCATCAACCTACACATACAAGTCCATACGCACACAGACAAGTCTATCGGACCCATCTGAACAAGTCCATTCACCCACACAGACAAGTCTATCGGACCCATCTGAACAAGTCCATTCACCCACACAGACAAGTCCATCAGACCCATCTGAACAAGTCCATTCACCCACACAGACAAGTCTATCGGACCCATCTGAACAAGTCCATTCACCCACACAGACAAGTCCATCAGACCCATCTGAACAAGTCCATTCACCCACACAGACAAGTCCATCAGACCCATCTGAACAAGTCCATTCACCCACACAGACAAGTCCATCAGACCCATCTGAACAAGTCCATTCACCCACACAGACAAGTCCATCAGACCCATCTGAACAAGTCCATTCACCCACACAGACAAGTCCATCCACACACACAGACAAGTCCATCAGACCCATCTGAACAAGTCCATTCACCCACACAGACAAGTCCATCAGACCCATCTGAACAAGTCCATTCACCCACACAGACAAGTCCATCCACACACACAGACAAGTCCATCAGACCCATCTGAACAAGTCCATTCACCTACACAGACAAGTCCATCAGACCCATCTGAACAAGTCCATTCACCCACACAGACAAGTCCATCCACCTACACATACAAGTCCATACGCACACAGACAAGTCCATCAGACCCATCTGAACAAGTCCATTCACCAACACAGACAAGTCCATAAGACCCATCTGAACAAGTCCATTCACCTACACATACAAGTCCATACGCACACAGACAAGTCCATCAGACCCATCTGAACATGTCCATTCACCCACACAGACAAGTCCATCAGACCCATCTGAACAAGTCCATTCACCCACACAGACAAGTCCATCAGACCCATCTGAACAAGTCCATTCACCCACACAGACAAGTCCATCAGACCCATCTGAACAAGTCCATTCACCAACACAGACAAGTCTATCGGACCCATCTGAACAAGTCCATTCACCCACACAGACAAGTCCATCAGACCCATCTGAACAAGTCCATTCACCCACACAGACAAGTCCATCAGACCCATCTGAACAAGTCCATTCACCCACACAGACAAGTCCATCCACCTACACATACAAGTCCATACGCACACAGACAAGTCCATCCACACACACAGACAAGTCTATCGGACCCATCTGAACAAGTCCATTCACCCACAAAGACAAGTCATTCATCCAAGGACAAGTCCATCCATCAACACAGACAAGTCCATCCACCCACAAAGATATGTCCATCCACCAACAAAGACATGTCCATCCACCCAGAAAGAAAAAAGGCCATCAACCACACAAAAAAGCCATCCACCCACAGACAAGTCCATCAGAAGCATCTGAAGAAGTCCATCCACCTGAGGACAAGTCTAATCAACCCATCTGAACCTGCAGACTCTGTCTCCTTATCATACTCCCTGACCTTGCGTTACGAAACAAACAGTACCTAGCTCTATATCATGCACCCTGACTGTGCATTATGAAACATACAGACCTGTGTCCTTATCATGCTCCCTGACCATGCGTTATGAAACATATAGCACCTATCTCCTTATCATGCACCCTGACTGTGCATTATGAAACATACAGACCTGTGTCCTTATCATGCTCCCTGACCATGCGTTATGAAACATATAGCACCTATCTCCTTATCATGCTCCCTGACTATGCATTATGAAACATACAGCACCTATCTCCTTTTCATGCTCCCTGACCATGCATTATGAAATATACAGCACCTGTCTCCTTATCATGCTCCCTGACCATGCATAATGTAATATACAGCACTGACCTGCTTATCATGCTCCCTGACCATGCATAATGTAACATACAGCACTGATCTGCTTATCATGCTCCCTGACTATGCATTATGAAACATACAGCACCTATCTCCTTTTCATGCTCCCTGACCATGCATTATGAAATATACAGCACCTGTCTCCTTATCATGCTCCCTGACCATGCATAATGTAATATACAGCACTGACCTGCTTATCATGCTCCCTGACCATGCATAATGTAACATACAGCACTGATCTGCTTATCATGCTCCCTGACCATGCGTTACGAAACAAACAGTACCTATGTCCTTATCATGCTCCCTGACCATGCATTATGAGACCTGTGTCCTTATCATGCTCCCTGACCATGCATTATGAAACATACAGCACCTATGTCCTTATCATGCTCCCTGACCATGCATTATGACACATACAGACCTGTGTCCTTATCATGCTCCCTGACCATGCATTATGAAACATACAGCACCTATGTCCTTATCATGCTCCCTGACCATGCATTATGACACATACAGCACCTATGTCCTTATCATTCTTCCTGACCTTGCATTATAAAATATACAGCACCTATGTCCTTATCATGCTCCCTGACCATGCGTTATGAAACATACAGCACCTATGTCCTTGTCATGCTCCCTGACCATGCATTATAAAATATACAGCACCTATGTCCTTATCATGCTCCCTGACCATGCATTATGAAACCTACTTCCTTATCATGCTCCCTTGCCCACTTCAACTTCTCCATGAGGTCACTGAGGTCTCTCTTGAATGGCACATAGTGAACATATGGTTCCAGATTCTTGTAGAAGTGTTCATAATAGTGGGAGTTTTGTTTCATCACTGTGGAGTCACCAGCCAGCAGGTATGGCAGGCGGTAGGCAGCCACGGTCCCATCCAAGTTCAGCTGGTACTTATGCTGCAAGCATGTCAAACATCCTATGACCCTCTCAGTTTTAATTGAGAATTAACTTCAATACATTTTGTGTTCATGGAAGCATAAAAGCATAACAACCTGTGTGTATACAGTGTATATATTCATGTAGCATAATTACATAAAAAACATATTGTAGTCAATTCTTGTAAGCACACACTTCAACAATAAGAGTGAGTGAGTATGGTTTTAAGCCGCTTTTAGCAATATTCCAGCAATATCACGGCGGGGGACACCAGAAAATGAGTTTCACACATTGTATCCATGTCGGGAATCGAACCCGGGTCTTCAGCGTGACGAGCAAATGCTTTAACCATGCCCAGTGAAGCACAAAGTAATCACTTTGGTGTTGACAAACCTTCTGACACAAACAACCAAGACAAACCAGGATTCGAACTCATGATCATGGGTTGCTGGCATGCTAGTGGGACACAACTCTGCACAGCTAATTTCATTGGCTTAAATGACTGAGCCACCAATTTACCCATTATTGACCAAGACAGCATATAGCAAGGATTGTCCTAATGTAACCAAATAGCATGTTGCTATTTACAGCTTATCACAATAATTATCACATTATATTATATTTCAACTTTTGGGAAATAAAAGGGGGCAATATCTAAGGTGAGGTGCAAAATTTTAGCATATAGATACAGTCAAACACCATTGTGTCAAATTAACAGCTGTCTCGAAGCATAATCTTTGTTCCTGCATATTCCTGCTTAGTCCTCATTTTCGGTTGTGTCGAACCTCACATAACCATGATAACTCGAAGTACTTACGTTTGTTGTTGTTTTTTTGTTTATTTTTTGTTTAATGCCGCACTCAGCAATATTCCTGCTATATGACGGCGGTCTGTAAATAATCAAGTCTGGACCAGACAATCCAGTGAATGACATCATGAGCATCAATCCACCCAATTGGGATACGATGACATGCATCAACCAAGTCAGAGAGCCTGACCACCCGATCACGTTAGTTGTCTTTTACAGCAAGCATGGTTTGCTGAAGACCTATTTTCATGCAGGACCCTTAACTTCAACACAACAGCGTTTGACTGTTCATATACGAAAGAGTGTGAGTTAGTGAGTTGGGTTTAACGCCGCTTTTAACAGTATTCCAGTTATATTGCAGCGTGTCAGCTTAATGTGGGAGGAAAGCCCGAAGTAATGCAGGTCTAAGACGTTTACCACTTCAGTGAAACCCACCAGCACGGGTATGGTGCAGACAAACCTAGAAACATAATCAGGGCGAACCAGGATTCGAACCCACAATCTTAGGTGTCTGGTGTGCCCATAGGACGCAACACTGCACAGCGAATCGTGGCGCCTTGGACAACTGGGCCACCCGTGCCCCCTCATATACGAAAGAATGGATTCTGGTGAAGTATAATTTCTACAGATGATCACACACCTGGAAGAAGCTGAAGAAGGATACGGGTTTGACAAGCTTCCCATACTTGTTCTCGTCCTTGGGGAAGAAGAACATGTTTGTGAGTGAAGCATTGATCTTGTCGGGGTGCTGCCTGGCCATCTGCACCAGCTGCAGTCTCTCCTCCCGGCTGTCCCGCCCCCTCCAGAAGGCCACCTCCGACTTCTCCTCCCACCTGGGCCCAGTGTTGCCTTGTACAGAGAATATATCCAGGGTCACTCTGAAACACACACACACACAAACATGGCTAGATTGAAGCTTCCAGACAAGATATATACTGAGGTCAATGACATATATTTATAGCCAACATGCTTTGACCACACAGCAATGTTTGTTTGATTGTTGTTTAACGCTGCACTCAGCAATATTCCAGCTATATGACAGTGGTCTGTAAATAAACGCATCTGGACCAGACAATCCCATGATTGCTATCATGCGCATCTTGAGCATAAATACACGCAATTGGATCGATGACATGCATCAACCAAGACACCACCTGATCACCCTGGTCGCCTCTTACAACAAGCGTAGTCACATTATACGGCAAGCATGGTTGCTGAAGACCTATTCTACCCCGGATCTTCACAGGTCTTGACAATAGGAAAAAAGGTACAAAACAATTTACCTTGACATCATTTCCAAAGTAGCTTCCGTGATGTCGTAAGTTGGGATCACGATATCAAGGGTATCATCAGATCCGCACCAGGAAAATATTGGGATGGGATTTTCGCTCATTTTCCTTTTCTCCAGAGGCCAATCACCGAAGTTCATAATAAATTCCATGTTCGGCAGCTTTACCTGACATATAAACAGAGAGTGTATGCATACAGCTTTGAGTGAGTGAGTATGGTTTTCCGCCGCTTTTAGCAATATTCCAGCAATATCACGGCGGGGGACACCAGAAATGGGCTTCACACATTGTACTCATGTCGGGAATCGAACCAGGGTCTTTGGCGTGACCAGCGAACACTTTAACCACTAGGCTACCCGACCGCCCCATATACAACTTTGAAACTTACTTTAACAACACTAAACTGTTATGCTCCTGAAACAATGTTTAATGCTTTCTATGAGGTTATCAAAATGTTCTACATACACATTTTTTGCTCAATAAATCAACAATCAAGATGGTTGGCTAAGGACAATTTCTTGAATGGGATCTACAGTATCATTAGGTAGAGGTCATTTATCAAAGACTGAAAAACCCCATCCCCTCCCACCCATAAAGTTGATAAATATTGGCGACCTTCCTCCTTCTTGCTGTGCCATTTTTTTATGCCACCCCCTTTAATCTCACTGGTCCCCCCTCCCTTATAATAAATCACTAGCCTGATGACCAGCACATGTTGATAGGGATTAACTCTAATGCCTGCTATGTCATATATTTGCTAACTTATACATATTTGTTTGGTATATCATGGAACATCTAATAAACACTTAGCAATATTTTCATAATTGTTGCCAACTGTGTAAAAATGTGTTTATTTTAACAATTTCATAACACCTGAAGAAATCAAGACATGACATGTTTCCATTGTATCAAGCTAAACTATAATTAATTAGGCCATTAAAAAATCAAATCAGCAGAAATTAAACTCTGTAAAATTTGTGAAAATTAGACATCTTTGTTTCCAGGTTTTTTTCATGCATTTGGGACACACCTGATACCAGGAATGAACTTCTTCAGATTTTTTTTTTTTTTAAATATATTTATTTTGAACACAGGAACTGGCTCCAGCCTGCAGATGCTGACTGACTTACCTTGCGTGTCAAAGACAATAGCAGAGCATCTGAAAACATCTTGAAGCCTACATGTTCTCCGTAGGTCTTTCTGTATATCTGAAAATGTCATCATCTCCTATCAGAGACAGAAACGAACAGTTGCAGTCCACTTGTCTTCATAATGAATACATATAGCAAAACCCTTGAAAAGTTCAAATGTCTACTAGTCCTAATGATCCCTTAACTATTGGGCAGCTTGGCAATGACTACAGGACTGGTGCCAATATCTTACGCTGCTTATGAATAGCGTCTAGTGAGTAAATTTATTGAAATCTATGCTGATATCTGGTCTCATTTCAGTGGAACTGATTTTGTAAAAATCTTGAAGAGCAAATTAGAAAAATATTAGGAAGTTAGGAATTAATGGCATAACCATTATAATGTGTCTACCAGCATGACTTGTTATCATAATCAGTGTACAAGATATGATCTTATTTTGAGTGGAATTCTGCCTACATACAGTGTGCGAAATTAGAGCCTGCCCGTAGGCCCATGGCAGGCTGCACTTGTGGCAGGCCCGTAGTCTCAAATTTGTATGAGTCCAAATATCCTGCAGATAATTTACATGTTGATTTATTTGTTGCAATAAGTTGCAGTATTTTTGTAAACGAGGGTTGAAAGTGTGTGAGTGAGTTGGGATTAACACCGCTTTTAACAGTGTTCAAGTTATATCACGGCATGTCAGCTTAATTTGGGAGGAAAGCCCCAAGTGATGCAGGTCTCAGACATTTACCACTTCGGTGAAACCCACAAGCACGGGTAACCTGACAAACCTAGAAACATAATCTGGGCGAACTGGGATTCGAACCCACAATCTTAGGTGTCTGGTGTGCCCAAGGGACGCAACTCTACACAGTGGCACCTTAGACGACTGGGCCACCCGTGCCACCAAGGGCTGAAAGAGTTCAGTCAGTGCCTGCAGCTTTTCAAGTCTGTGGGTCCTGATGGCAGCCTGGCAAATGGTTATATTTCACACACTGCCTGTATACCGGTACCTTATTGTCGATGATCTTATAATGACAGATGCTGTGTCTCCCCGCATCACTGAACCTGTCCACAGCTTCCTTGGCAACCTTCTTGAAGTCAATGTCCTTGAAGATGCCCAAGTCCTGTTTGATTTGCCTGTAGCTGCTGGGACAGTCCATGTCCTTGAGCCACTGCTCCAGGTCTGGCTGTGGACAGTCACACTTCTCATGGTACACCATACCTGCACAAACAAGCCATGTGATAATCCAGATACTGAACCCTGTTATAAAGAGGTGAAATGGTACACCATACATGCACAAACAAGCAATGTGATAATCCAGATACTGAACCCTGTTAAAGAGGTGAAATGGTACAATACATGCACAAACAAGTCATGTGATAATCCAGATACTGAACCCTGTTATAAAGAGGTGAAATGGTACAATACATGCACAAACAAGCCATGTGATAATCCAGATACTGAACCCTGTTATAAAGAGGTGAAATGGTACACCATACATGCACAAACAAGCAATGTGATAATCCAGATACTGAACCCTGTTATAAAGAGGTGAAATGGTACACCATACATGCACAAACAAGCCATGTGATAATCCAGATACTGAACCCTGTTAAAGAGGTGAAATGGTACAATACATGCACAAACAAGCCATGTGATAATCCAGATACTGAACCCTGTTATAAAGAGGTGAAATGGTACACCATACATGCACAAACAAGCAATGTGATAATCCAGATACTGAACCCTGTTAAAGAGGTGAAATGGTACAATACATGCACAAACAAGTCATGTGATAATCCAGATACTGAACCCTGTTATAAAGAGGTGAAATGGTACAATACATGCACAAACAAGCCATGTGATAATCCAGATACTGAACCCTGTTATAAAGAGGTGAAATGGTACACCATACCTGCACAAACAAGTCATGTGATAATCCAGATACTGAACCCTGTTATAAAAAGGTGAAATGGTACACCATACCTGCACAAACAAGCCATGTGATAATCCAGATACTGAACCCTGTTATAAAGAGGTGAAATGGTACACCATACATGCACAAACAAGCAATGTGATAATCCAGATACTGAACCCTGTTAAAGAGGTGAAATGGTACAATACATGCACAAACAAGTCATGTGATAATCCAGATACTGAACCCTGTTATAAAGAGGTGAAATGGTACAATACATGCACAAACAAGCCATGTGATAATCCAGATACTGAACCCTGTTATAAAGAGGTGAAATGGTACACCATACCTGCACAAACAAGTCATGTGATAATCCAGATACTGAACCCTGTTATAAAGAGGTGAAATGGTACAATACATGCACAAACAAGCCATGTGATAATCAAGATATTAAACCCTGTTATAAAGAGGTGAAATGGTACACCATACCTGCGCAAACAAGTCATGTGATAATCCAGATACTGAACCCTGTTATAAAGAGGTGAAATGGTACAATACATGCACAAACAAGCCATGTGATAATCAAGATATTAAACCCTGTTATAAAGAGGTGAAATGGTGTCGGGACCCCCTGGACCTGCCTATGAATTTTAACAGCCCTTAAACAGATATTGGCTTGACCCTTACAAAAGTACAGCTGGGAATTATCAATGTGAAGAGACTGCAAAACTAAAGGGAACAGTATCCCCTCTGACGCCCTTTCACTCTAACAGAATCAGTTTACGTATTGAAACCAACAAATCAAGTTACTAAAATTGGCATAATTGGGACATAACCTAACATTCAGTATCCTGCTACTTGAACTGTTTATGGACACCATGGAGTGGGCCTACAGAAAACAGACAAGATTGTAATGTCAATACATACTTGCAGCCCTGTTTGTATGATTTTACCTGATTGTTTTTATATTATTCTCATAACAAAATTATTTCATTTACAATTACACGGTCTAATATTTTTGAAAGTTTATAATAGCAAAGTATTTCAATCATCTGACGTGCACCTGTGATCATGATATCCCAAATCTTCATCACAAAGAATATACACGACCCGTGAAGATCTGGGGTAGAATAGGTCTTCAGCAACCCATGCTTGCCATAAAAGGCGACTATGTTTGTCGTACCAGGCATTAACAGGATCGGGTGGTCAGGCTCGCTGACTTGGTTGATGCACATCATTGTCACCCAAATACGTGGATCGATGCTCATGGTGTCAATCACTTGATTGTCTGGTCCAGACTCGAATATTTATAGACCCCCGTCATATAGCTGGAATATTGCTGAGTGCGGCGTTAAACAACAAACAAACATACAAAGATATCTTGTACATTACCACCAGCATTATGTATGAGGGGTTTTTAAATACCAAAATTTCCTTGCCCTGTTAAATCAGAGAAAAGAGGACTTTAACTTAAACAACAAAAAAACTTTATTACTGAAGCAAGGGTTAAACGGAAGATGCGCAAAACAGATAAAGGAGCTAAAGTCGTAGTCTGAAAATTGTTAGTTATTCTGAGCCACTGCAAACACAGCATTAATTAACTTTCGATAACGTACACCTTCACACTTGTCAACTTGTTTAAATGTTTTCACCAATGATAGTGACACTCTCTCTCCCAGTTTCTTGCTGTTATTAGTTTCCTTCAAATGACAAGATATTAGGGCTTGCTATCGATACAGATCTTAAAGAGATAGATAATCGTTAAGTGCATATATTTTTTCAGAAAATCCAAATATTTAAATCAAACTTTGCACTGCACCTCTCCTATTGGTATAGAAATTGTTTACCAAGTTTGAAAAGAACCTATGCAGTGGTTTTCAAATTTCACAAAAATGTCCTCAAAATGACGGATGGATGGACAGACAGAACTTCTTGGTATAACTAAATACCCACGCCCTTTCGGTTTAGGGGTATAATAAATACATACCTTTAAGAATGTAAGGTGAATCAGCCACATGTCTTCCTTGGTACAAGACTTCTATCTCCAGGTCGACGGCAGACTCATACATGCGATACCTGACGATGTAGGACCCATCATGGCGGTCCAGAACCTGTGTCCATACACGCACACGTTCACTCGACTTCTTGTATATAGTCACAGCAAAGGCTTTTTCTCCAATTGAATTTGAAAACCTGGAAAATAATGTCAAAATTATATCTGAAAGCTGAACCTATATTAACAGTAAATGTCTCCAAAGGAAATGTATTCATGATATTGATGTTTTCCGAAACTTTCCAACTTTCAGCTTAGATCATGATATGTCCAAATATTTCCAGATATTGCATCCTTTCTGCATTCTTTACTCAGAACAGCTGGCAGCTATTTTTAATTGTTTTTAAATGAGGTGAAATAGGGTTTAACATCCTGTTCAAGATTATTGCACGGGTGTGTGTGTGGCTGCTTGTACTAGTTCGGACTAATGCATATTTTATAGTGCTAGCCCACTGAGATACCATGCTGCAGTTAAACAAGAATACCCCACTCAGACACAGCATACAGACTCAAAGCCGACCAGTCCTTGTTTTAGCCCCATAATGCCAAGCACCAGACAGGGTAACAACAAGTACCATCTCTTAAAGTATTTTGGTATGATGCAGCCAGGGATCAAGACTTTTGAACTTTTATTAACTGGTCTTAAAATATTTCATATCAAAGACACTCAGGTGAGATTCTATGAGAGTCCAAACTTTGCCTGCAACAAAGTCTTGCTTTATTGTGGCCTTGAAAGTGAAAGTGACACACCCAACCATTCTGGATACAATACTGGCGTCAATAGAACCACACCTGTACTCAATGATGCAGAGCCAAATTCAAGTTCTTTTTCCTTTTCAACAAGAAGTCATACTCCAGTGACCACACTGAATACTCTCTTTATGACAGTGTTCTATACATATTTATAAATATATCTTTAATCACGGCTGGTGCCTTTTCAAATTTTAAGAAAATCAAAGTTTTTACAAGCCTGTACACAGCTGTAATACAATTGCAGCTTTGCAGCCATATTACATGTACACCAGAGAACACATAAAAAATGTGTCATGCATTGAGTGATATGCTGAAAATGCCACAACCTCACCACTGATCTATGCATTTATGTTTTGTTTGTTTGTTGTTTAACGCCGCACTCAGCAATATTCCAGCTACATAACGGTCGTCCGTAAATAATTGAGTCTGGACCAGACAATCCAGTGACTGACCTCATGCACATCGATCCACGCAATTGGGATACGATAACATGCATGAACAAAGTCAGCGAGCCTAACCACCTGATCCTGTTAATCGCCTCTTACAACAAGCATAGTCGCCTTTTACGGCAAACATGGGTTGCTGAAGACCTGTTCTATCCCAGATCTTCACAGGTCTATGCCTTTATGTATTATATTCAGAAACTTTCATATCATTCAAGTATAAGAATTCCAATTTATCTTCATATCACATATTGCAGTTTGTGAATCACGCTCCATTTCCCAGTTGGCAATATTCCTCAGCCAGATAACGTGTTATCATGAAGTCCTGTACTAGTGTATAGAGGTGATGGCAATGACCCATGCAATCAGAGTACAAATCATTATAACACATTATCAGCAACCATGGGAATACCTGCCTGCCCAACAGTCCAAGACAGGCTGTTTTTGTCTCAGGCTGTAAACTTAACTTAAATTATCTCTGTATTGATTTCTTAAATCATATAGGCATGTAAAATACATCATTAAAATTTGTTGAAATCACATATTGCCTTGGGCATGAACCCCAAAATTTTTGTGGGTGTGGGTGTGGTGTTGGTGTGGTGTGGTGTGGTGTGGTGTGGTGTGGTGTGGTGTGGTGTGGTACTGGCAATGATTCTCACGATTCCTGTTTGACACAGTGACCTGGGTGTGGTCAATGCTTATTTCATATTTCATTTTTGTATGCATCCAAATAATGCTTAAAGTGCATGAACAGTTAAGCTACCTATAACTATTTGTATAGCTCTCTTTGACATGACTGCATGACTGACCGAGCAACTTGTATTTATCGACGTCACTGTTAGCACTGAGCCTGCTAGGTAAATATAAGACAGTACAATATGGTACAAGATGTAATAAGGAAGCTTTCGTTTTCACATTCAAATAGGGGCGGTCGGTTAGCCTAGTGGTTAAAGCGTTCGCTCGTCACGCCGAAGACCCGGGTTCGAATCCCAACATGGGTACAATGTGTGAAGCCCATTTCCGGTGTCCCCGCCGTGATATTGCTGGAATATTGCTAAAAGCATGGTAAAACCATACTCACTCACTCACTCACATTCAAATAAAAACATATTTTCAAGGCAGCAATAAAAACTCCTGCACTACCTAAGAAAACATATCATCATTCAGTATGTCACATGTTTTCCCTACACCTTGTCTGTCATACAGACCCTGAAACTAACATATCCAATACAGTCCATGCAAGTCTATAATATTTTGCAAGTCTAGATTACTGCAATGAAAATCTGAAAATGACTCTGGGCTCCTTTTTACAATATTTCATAACTATAATTTAACAACTTTTTTTATCTGTAAAATATGTTTATTTCATAGACTAGATGTCAGTCTACCCTACACTACTAATATAGAAGTATTCAGTATACACAGTGGATGATCCCAACTGTCTACATTGATCCATCACTTCCCTACACCCCCAACAATGGATGATCCCAACTGTCTACATTGATCCATCACTTCCCTTTACCCCAACAATGGATGATCCCAACTGTCTATATTGATCCATCACTTCCCTACACCCCCAACAATGGATGATCCCAACTGTCTACATTGATCCATCACTTCCCTACACCCCCAACAATGGATGATCCCAACTGTCTACATTGATCCATCACTTCCCTACACCCCCAACGATCGATGATCCCAACTGTCTACATTGATCCATCACTTCCCTACACCCCTAACAATGGATGATCCCAACTGTCTACATTGATCCATCACTTCCCTACACCCCCAACAGGGGATGATCCAAACTCTCTACATTGATCCATCACTTCCCTACACCCCCAACAGGGGATGATCCCAACTGTCTCTATTGATCCATCACCATACACACCCATAAGTGGACATTCCAACACGATCTACACCTATTCCAGCAAACCTTAGTGCAGTGTCAGTAAGCTGGTTAATTTTTATATTTAGGCGTGGCCAATGATTCAAGGTTACTGAGCAGCTATAAAGCAGAGATACTCTATAATGGCTATAGAGTTTCTGAAAACAGGAAACTGAATATCGTGACGACTCCACCCTCTACATTATTCTTTTCACCGGGCCTGGTATACAAAGTATCCTCAGTACGATGACTGTCAATTCAATTCCACAACACAGACTTACGACTGACACCTTTTAATGAATGCTTTATGAATGGGACACTAGATTTAGAGTTGTGAGAACCAGAACTCCCACACTATACTAAAAATATTTGAACGTTTTAGACTTTTAGCATGTTTAGTACTAATATTGCTTTATGAAAAAGTACACTTAACTCCAAAATACTAGTACCATAACATAGACCTACGATTGTCAAACTTTATGCTAAAATAATTTGGGAAACAACTTGGCATCAGGTCTTATGACCTTCCACCATCAAAATTTATTCCATGGATAAAGTGGATGAAATAAAAATGTGTTCCCAAATAAATTCTTCGTGTCCTCCTCTCGGAAGGAGTGAGTGAGTTAAAATCTAACACTGCATTCGCAATATTGCAGCCATATGGCGATGAAACCAATCAGAAGGGAGGGTGCATGAAGGAAGCAAGCAAATTGGGTTTTAAACCACGTTTACAAATATTCCGGGTATATCACAGCCGCCGACACAAGAAATAGGCTCCACCCATTGTACCCATTTGTGGAATCAAACCCAGGTTTCTGTTGTGGTAATCAAACACCTTAACCACTACGCTATGCCACTGCGACACTGTTGACACTCAATTATAAGAAATAACATACAGAGGACCATCGGAAATTTTCCCATCTAAACAGTGATTGGCTTGAGAGCATTTCTGAACCTACCTTGAACCCTTGTACATTACACACATCATGCTTATGATTGTGCTTTCAAACATAACGGAACCCTGAACAGCCCGATTGAAAAAGCATCCAGGTGTATATAATGTTTTTTGCTCACACCGCATTAAGTATGAATTGAGTTATTACAGAACCTCCTGTCCAGCCAAGTGACTGATCTTTATAATCACTGGAGCATATTGCATGCTACTAAAGTTGATGGGGTTGTTCTTGACCTGGGCACCATTGATATGTTTGTTTGTTGTGTTTGTTTGTTGTTTAACCCGCACTCAGCAACATTCCAGGTGCCCTTGACATTAATCAGCTTTTATAGATGACTGCACAAATACATAAGTAGGCACTTAACAGGCAAACTCATGAGCTAACACATATTAAACCCCCCATGAGTTACTGTTTATTGCCACAATGTTGTACAGTCTTAAACTGTTATTCAGCTCCTCGTTTCTTTGTTTAACGCTGCACTATTCCAGCTATATGACGGCAGTCTGTCAATAATCTTGACCAGACAATCCAGTGATTGACATCTTGAGCATCAATCCACGCAATTGGGATTGATGACATGCATCAACCAAGTCAGCAAGCCTGACCACCCGATCGCGTTTGTCGCCTCTTACTACAAGCATGGGTTGCTGAAGACCTGTTCTTCCCTGGATCTTCACGGGTCCCATCAATATTGACCTGTGGTACAACTGGACATATCAAATCGTACCCAGGGTTTTATGTTTATTTCTGTTTGTACACAGGTTCTCTTTTGGTAGTACCCGTGAAGATCCGTAACGGGGTAGAGTAGGTCTTAAGCAACCCATGCTTGCCGTAAAAGGCTTGCTGACTTGGTTGAAGCATGTCATCGATCCCAATTGTGTGGACCGATGCTCATGATGTCAATCACTGGATTGTCTAATCCAGACTCGATTATTTACAGACTGCTGTCATATAGTTTCTTCTTTACATCGTGACGATTCCTGTTCAATCCATATCTCATGAGCGGGTGTCTTGCAAGGTTGTTTCCAAAACATTGTTCCATACTGCAACGTAACTCATTATCTCCTTGACTTCCATCCATATAGGGGGCGGTCGGGTAG